TGATCCAGTTGTTAGGTGCTTGAGACGTCTCCACAACTCTCTTGCTAGGTTGTACGTAGGTGTACCTGGGAGCGATACGATCGGTCTTAATGGGCACCGTTTTGTTTTTTGGAGGATGCGGCGGTATGTTGTTAATCAACAAGCAGATTTGACAGTAAAAGAAAAACAGTTGTTTGTAAGGTCATCGTATGTATGCTAGAAAGCATTTGCTATTCCAACTCAGCATCAACACCATCGATATATTAAACAGCGCTTCACCATCATTTCTTTGCTTTAGATAAACTGACCGCTGTACACTTATATGCAATTCAAGGCAGATAATTTGGTTTCATCTGTTGCACTGCCTACCATCACCTTAATTCGAAGAAGTCTAACTTCCAAAGATGTAAACGTGGTGGAACCTTCCTGCAGATCCAGTATTTTTATGGATATTTCTGTCTAAACTTTGGGAGCAGGGATCTCCCAAGGCACAGAAACTAAATGGACCGAAAATAGAGCACAAATACAAAATTAGAGACGCATCTAATCTTTCGGTTTCCTTTTCTCTTTCCTCTTTGAGCTATTCCAAAGCAGTGACATTTTCGGATAATTTCTCACTATAGAGGTTACAAAGTATAATTACTACTCCAACTAGTTTTCACAACCCGCTTATAATAGGCCAGTCAGGTGAATCAAGGCACCCTGGCAATGCATGAGTATAGTAAAAATAAGAAAAACCGCTTTATTATACCAAAAGTGCAAAAGCGTTGACCAACATGTAATACATGTTTATACAATCCAGGTTATGGAGATAGTTTGCACATGGCACAAATGTGGAATTTCGTTAGGTTTTGTAGACACACATATGCACGCTTGATTGGCAAAGTGCAACAAAAGTAGCGTTGTCAAATGCCTAGCTTAAACAGTCATCTGCCTGAACCCCCATCCTGTTTTAGTTCCGACAAAATCACTGCCGGATTTTCCTTTACGCTTTTACCCTTGTCTTTATACTGCGCAGAAACGAGTCTTACATATTTGCTTCATTGTCATCCACTTTTGCCTAGCGCCGCAGTGCCAGCCTTTATCAAGCGCAAAACCTGACGATCTCCAGCAATTTTATAAAACGTTTATCTGTTTCGTCATCTACATTGTCCTCAACAATTGTATAACCGGTCCCTTCTAGTTTAAGAATATCTGAACATGCAATGTACCGGTTTCGTGTTCAGTTACTTTTGATTTAAGTTGCCTCACTTTTGTATTCTTCATCATTTGCGAAAAATATATGCGGTTCGGTTAAAATATGTCTACAGCGGGAACAAAATAAATATATCTTCGATGTCGGCAAAGTTTGCTAACCCTTCGGTTAATCCTGAAAAAGTAGGGAAGTATTTTGAGGAATTTTAATATCATACCTCAATCGATTTTTGCTTGTACCTTTTCCTTGTACTTTTTGCTGTACGCCCTCAACCGTTCTTTTTATTATGGTACCGTTAGTAAAAAGGTTCAAGCAAATATAAATGCGCTTGATACAAGTCTTCTGATGCGAGCAGATTCCGACTTCTTGCTGCAACACTGAGTTGTACATATGGAAATTTATACTTCCTCTCCCGACGCAGGATTCAATACCAGTTTTGATACTGCATATACTGAGATATATTTCGACAAACAAGGCATTATTCGATGTGTACATAATGTCAGCAGTAGCCTCCGCAAGTAAGACCTATACCGATAAAATGTTTTGAAACGGAATACGGGCGCTATGTCGCGAATAGTATGTGTCAGCTGAAGAAAATGAACGCGAAAATTGTAAACTGGCTCAGAAGTGTTAATCCCCAGTACCTGTCAAATTTTCATTTAATTTCGGATTTAATCATTTGTACTGTTGTTTCGGGATTGCAATCTAGCATCCATATTACCTTCATTCACATCCGTTTGTCCTACATATACAACTACGTAATCAACATGCATGAAGCAATATCACCGAGACGAATCGGATGTAATGGACACGTCCAAAATTTGACAGCTGCGCACCTGATCCACATCCGTCAACATTGCGGCGCAGATGAAGCGGCTACAATGTACCCGTCCATTAATCGGAAAATTGCAAGTGACGGGTTAGAAATCATTATCGCACGCACCTCATCTTCAGAAGGAAAAATATGGGCAGCAGCAAAATGCTACAACCGGAGATGCGACAACACAACTTATGTTAGCTGTTAGTAGATCATACGTACACATGCAATAAAAGGAACCCAGTCCCAATTATTTTACGCAAGAACACACAAATGTGCATGCGCTTTTGTAATAATTTTTGCTTGGATTGTGAAAATTTATTGAAATATCATCATATACCTTATCTCGCAAATCGTTTCTAACTAGGTGGCAATATAAACAAACAAATGGTAAATCCTCGGTAATGTGAGGCACATCTCCATAAGCATGATCATGGTAAAACGAAAAACGTGCCCCGTATATATACAGAATTGCCACAAGTTTATATGAATATGTGTATATATGTGGGTATATATTGTTGGATAAATTATTATAAATTTATTGTTTTCAGTAAACTTTTTCATCTTTCGCCATATTTCTCGTAAGAACTAAAATATTTTACTGTATACTGATTACATTTTACAAGGAAGATGTATACTGTGGAAATTCATCAAGCGTAGCTTTTTGAAATGCTGTTTCGACAATTTTCAAATAGTTCACACGCAAAGACATGGAGGGGAGATGTTTTGCAAAATATGACAGATTGATTGGTTACACGCACAGTAGTTATGTAAACCGAAGCTTACATTTCTATCTTAATTTGTATTTAGTATTGCAGTTTAAGTTGCCGGATTACACTTGTCTGGCTTTGCCTGAATGTTTAATTATAGTTGATTAATTTTTTTTATTTTTCAGGGCGCTATTTTGCTTAACGAGACAACCGTATTGATCGACATTTTCTAGCTAGTATTAACATATTAATGGGTAAATTACGTGACCCAACCACTTCAAAACGTGCAGAAATTGGAATTTTGTTGAAAGAAAATGTTAACAGACAGTAAGTAAGACTGTCCCCTTAACCAACTAATAAATATGATCGCAGAATAGCAACAACAGCTAAAGACAATCACTTCTGCTTAGGAAATGCCAAAGGAATCGCAAAGCACCTGTCAGAGAGCTTCAAGGGGTATTAGAAGAGCATGGTGTTGCAGTAAGTCCCAGAACCTTACGATGACTACATTTGTATCCTGGACTTCGAGCTTGCATACCTTAGTGAAGCAAAAGGTGACCAAACAGATGAAAAGAAAAACAACGGTAATTGGCCAAACAGCTTGACATAGCTTGAATACAAATGCTAGAATGACGATGCGGTGTGCGTTCAATTCAATAATCCCATATGGTAAAAAGATGTATATCTGCCAAAATTTGGTGCAAGTGAGCCTCTCTGCAAGAGAACCTTCAGTTCCGAAAGACAATGCAGTACGTAGTTGCAAGTGTTCACAAACTGTGTGAAGCAGAAATGAAGCCTTTCTTCTAAATGAGATAAACACAGCTCCAAAAATCCCGCCTCCCAGTTCCATCAGAGTAACACCCGTCGGTATTGTCAACATTTACGAACAAATGAGATAAATTCAAAAAAGCGCCTAATGGTGATATCAGATATGCACATATAATAAACACCTGAGAAGAGACAAAAGATTAACTATTTAAGCAGGATAGTGGAAATTTATACATGCCTTTTGCGTGACATTATCTACATGCATCTTTGTAATTTAGAATTCGAGATATCATTTAAAAGCAATTGATGGCCATAACATAGTTCGGGTTCGCATTGCTGTTCCCGAAAGTGCTGGTGATTTTCCTTTTCTTCCTCTCAACATGTTAACTTATAGTTAAGACATGCAGAAGTAAAACGATGGGTTGTTTTACTCCGTTGAAATTTCAACCCGCTTTTATCCGTGTTTCAATTCCCGATGACGTTTCTATCAAACTTGATGTCGCACGAGGCGACATAATGAAAAAATAAGATATGGTTAAATAATAGTAGCATTATGCTGTCCCCATCTGCATCACTTTAATCTCGCCTCTTCAGCTATACATATGTTATACTTTTCACGAACACTGCATTAAACATGAAAAATAAAATGTTTGGATGAACTATCATTTTCTCACATTATATTTAATTAGCTGATACTTTTAACGCGTTGGCACTAACGATTAGTTTTTACCGGCTAAGAGAAAAACGGAACAATATCCATTAATGTTTTCATTCGGATTTATTTTCTATTTTGTTCACTTTGCCAACAATGATGCAAATAAACACTTCTCCCAGCTAAATTTCGAATTGAGATGCATGGTCATACTTTTTTCATAGAGGCAAGTCCCTTTCGATTCTGATCTATATTCCTAACAGCACCCGTTATTTCTCATTATACGCAGTTCGCTGAAATAATACAATGATGAGAAATTAGTTGGCTGACCATTTGTTGTCGGAATCGTAGTCTTACTAGCAACACTGCATGTTACACTGTTTTCTGTTTTTAGTACAATAGCTAGCTTGTGCCTGTTGTGAACTCCGAGCATTGTGCAGTCAAGAAAAGATCGCGATGACAGTTTATCCGGACCTTGGAATTATAAAATATCAACTGAAACATGGTGATTAAAACCAGTATTCCTGAGTACCTACATGGACCTGAGCGTACACGACGTTACATCTTACCACTACTCTTCATGATGCAAGTCACTGACCACATAAGGAAAAGCTATCTGTTATCTAATCACTTACTAACCTGTTAGTATTTCCAATATAGCCTTGTAGGAAATTGGGTAGTACTGCTCATTGTAAAAATTGCTCTTCAAAATATGATGGATGGACAGTAGACAGATTAAGTGCAGTTAAAAACAAAAGTAAATGCTCACAGAAGATTTCTCTAGGCAAAAGTTTGTATATACACAAAGAAATATTGACTAAAATAGGAAACGCATGTGTACAATTTTATCTTGAGCGACAAATCACCTGGAAGAATCGAGGTAGTATGTAATTTCATACCAACCTAAATGATTATCACACATAAACGGAATGTGATTGAGCTTTGCCTATGTTCATAATGGTTGATAACAAACGGACGCTCTTAGTGTTTTCTGAGCGTATTCCATCCATTGCAGCCTGTACAGTGTACCGAGTGATTGTGTGGGTAAGTTTAATCAATTAGCAACCTAGACAATCGAAATCGTCTGCATTCGTTCTCTCGTCAGATGCCCGCTATCATTGTCACCTGATAATACACATGATGTCGCGCCATGACTCATCCGACCACTGCGTGAGGAACCACTGCGGTGGCTTCCAGTTCGTCTGAGTGTACATGAATGACCATGCGTCATGCGACAGGGGCTCTTACTTCGATGTCTGCCTGGGGAATGATGTGAACTTTGTTTTGGTAAATTGTGAATGGGTATCAGCTGATACCTAGATGTGCAATTATGGCTAGGTATCAGATTTGAGCGCGGGACGATGTGGTTTGTGCGTCGGTCTTGGCTTCGTGGATGTCGCTTAGACGACCGATACGTAGAGGAATATACACTTGTCCTACTGTTGTCCATGGACAGATGAGTACGGGAATTTTGTCGTGAGTGTATGTGAGCGTGACCTGTGTCACATTTTCGAGGATGACTTTGTCGATGATATGATTTATTGCTTGCCTGACTTGGTGCAAGGGAATGTTTGGAGCCTGTTAGTTCAGCCAGTGGATCCATATGCATCCGTCTTCGCTTACGTTCGCGGTAGTAAACAATGCCTATGAGGACAAACAACAGCACAAACGTCATGATGACTCCAACCGAGATGTGCACGAAATTGTAGGTGATTGCGCCGGCGCCTGCGAACAAGAAATAACAATCGCTTTTTGCTAGAATCTTTGGCAAAGTGCATGCACTGTGAGTTGGTTATGGAGTCAGGTGAAAGTTTTCGTTAATAACATCGGCTTCAAATATTAAATACATAACCACGAATTAGATGAGAAGCAAAGTTTGTTTCCAATCCACCTTAAAAGGGACAGCAGATAACTCATTCTTCAATCAAGGAGAAAATACGTTTTACCATATGTCACAGGAGGAAGACCGTATACGAAATGAAAATAACTGATTTTTGCTACAGCCGCTATCCACTTGCGATGCGCGATAACGTAAACGGTGCATCTAAGAAAAAATTCAACTTATTGGGCATCAGCTTGAACCTTGTCCTACGCTCTACTACTTGAATTCTGGCATAAGTTCACGGTTTGTTTCAGGTCGATGAGTAGAGATATTCTCGTCTTCACAAATGGTGAACATTTTAACGGTCCATCTGCCCTCCTGAACTCAATTCAACCTAATGCTTCTGTATCAAAGTAGATGGGAAATAGGACAGACTGCATTTCTGAACGTGCTCAGCAACAGAAGGACGGATGTCACACGGCAGCGCAATGTGTACATTAAAGCGGCCTGAGGGGAAAATACATGTATTTCTCCAGCTTCGCCCCAGTTGCATAAAAGCACGACTTTGTAAAAATTCTGTTCTACAGGGCCAGGCAAATTTGCAGTCCGGAATTGTTTAAGGCTGATGAAGAGCTTTTCTACCGGACTCTGCAATCCAATGAGTATACGGAGAACTTCATTCAGACCCATAGCAGACCCCTCAAGGAGAAGCTAGCAGTAGAACCAGCGAAGTAGGATGTTTAGTTGTTTTTACCGTTCCAGGGAATCACGTGGCAAGTGATGTCGGTCACAAGCTCATGTCCGTTCAAATGTGCACCCACTAAACGAAGGATTCCTCTCCACAGCCGTCCGAGTAGCTCACCAATCAGTTCAGCCTTTAAAATCATGTACCAGTTCACTTGCAGTTGCTTGACACTTACATCGGCAAGACTGGTCGCCGTCTGGTTCAAATGGTGGCAAAACAATTCTCATTGTGGCTAATGTTCTTGCTGTCTCACCAAGATGGAGTGGACCAAATAATGAACCCGAAAACCTCTAGTCTGTCAATAAACACCTAATGGCGACTAGTCACCAGGTGAACCCAATCGATTCATTTAGGTTGCTATTGCACCACAAGAGAACGATGTTATTGGCAATTGGCGAGGCCCTACTGATAAGGTTGAATTGTTCCGCACTAAGTGCTTAGAAACAACTGTGGCAATTCATTAGATTGCTTTGAACCTGATTACGTCATTCACATCAATGTTGTCTGTTTTTCTATGTTACTAATTTTGGACCGTATCTATTTCATATTTCATTCTGCCTGTATTGCGTGCCGACTGAGGTGAGCAGTCGAAATTTTAACATATCGCGTTAATGAACTGTTTGAAGGGTACTCAATGTTTCAAGATATTTATTTAATCGAACAGACGGCCTATCACTGTATGGGCGATGAATAATACCCGCTGCAACACGATTAAGTGGCAGTCTTCACGGCCGTACACTTCTCGTAAGAAATTAATGAAAATGCTTTTTGAATTCCGCATCGATTAATTCACAAGGTTTCTACTCGCGTCTTTGATGCAAAACGGTTCTTCAGGTATGTTGCGTGATATCTTTACACTGCTACAGGTAAAAATTCCTCAAACTGTGGAAATAATATAGATATATCACCGACGGGTAATCATCCTCTATGTTTAAATGTAAGTAACCAATACTCGGTAATTAAAACATCAGCTTGTCAGTTTCGTACTCTTTCGTTAGTTTAGGTAGAAATCCATATTATTGAATGAAATTTTAACCTACTACAAGGACTGTCAATAGTGCCATCGGGTGAATTTAAAAGTAGCAAATTTTCAAAATAAGGGGAACCTATGTTAATAGAAATAAGTAACTGCAACAGACTTTCCCTTCATCCAACTGTAAGTGATATTTCGTTTATTTACAAGAATAACCAAGGAACAATATGCAAAGTGCGTTGTGAAAAACAGGCGGCACAGAAAAAGCAAATTACTCTGTGGGCGCTGTGATGTTGAGTGTAGTAAACCACTTCCCATCCCAGGCTTTCTTGATCGCATTTACCTTTTAAGGAAGCAATTAATTTCCTTCTTGTTGCCACAGGCATGGTTATGAATTACTTAACCAGCTGCTCATATTTTCATGTTTGAATACAAGATAGTTTAAGGACGCCTAAATAATAATGTTTAGCAGAATGAAATTACATTTCATTCCGTAAGAAAATGTACCTGCCTCTGTTGCGATAGTAGTTGTTATCATTTAGGTGACATGATATTCGACAGTTCAGTCAGTGTTCGGTAAAGGATGGCTAAAATATCGATTTGGGTTTTTTCTGCTCTGTCGGTTCCTGCATAGATGCAGACATCTGCTGCGAACTGTCCCGTCCAGAGCAGTGTAATAGGACATTTTCTGAAATTGATCTTTTACGCGGGAGCACAGAGCAGTGAACTATGACGTAAGAAAATAACTTGCGGGCTGATTATCGGCCTCTGAAGTGCACGGATCGGAGAGAGCAACACCGATTCCTGTAAGTTATGTGCCATCCAGGTTTAACAACCTTGGTTAAGGCGTTACCGGCAACTTTGAAGACCAGACAATACCGGGTAACGAAGTTTCTTTAATGTTTGCACCATATACGGTACCACGAGCGACGGAAAAACACGGACTGGTCAGTTTACGTTACCGACAGCAACGAGGTGACCTAATTGTCCACAAACCATTGAGAGTTGTAACCCATGTTTGAAGCCAACTCGCGAAACCCAGCTCGAGCACTGATATGTCAGGCTGAAATGAGTTTGTATTCGGTTGGTACTGGAGAGCATCCTGTCGGAAGAGCATGAATGCTGTGCACCATAAATACACATACCTGACGAAAAATTGCAGTTGGCATTCTCGTCCGAATCATCAGGGTCGAGCCTATTGGCTTTACTATACACACCGCAATTAGGGGTGCCGTCGCAGACCAAATGTTTGGAAATGCAATGCTTTGAGTGCGCACATTGAAAGCCCTCACAGGTACCTAAAGACAGTAAAAGCAGAAAATGTGCAAACATACGAGAATTGTTTGGTTCACCGTTGTCTTATTCCTTGTGATTTGCAGCAGTAACTGCCTGATAATTTCTTGAAATAAATTCGGTATAGGACGCGAGAAACAAATGGTGTATTCCGAAATTTTTAAATATAATAAGGAACTATGCAGTATACTTTTGATTGGGAAACATATAAATCCACAGAGTTGTAACTCTGACTTGTTGAACTTAGTTCCTCCAACACACTAATAGTTAGTTTAATATTTATCAGCAGTTCAGCTTCCAAACATCAGTGATATCCACAAATTTTCGCCACCATTTATAATAAAAGCGAGTAAATCACAATCCGCTTTTTTAAAATAAATTGTAACCGTAATTAATCTAGAAACTGCTTTAAATAGTGTTACCTTTAAACCAGCTACCCTCCTTGACTTAAAATGCTTTACTGACGAATTTGGATGCAGTCATCGATAAGACTAGTGTCAGCTTGACGAGCTAATACAAGTAAATCCGGTCCATCAAATCTCTAACTGCTGCCTAACATTAGCGTTGAATATTTGGAGTGCCGGTACAATGCTTAGTTAAGAATTCGTGAGCGATATTAAGACAACTTTCACTTAGACATGAAACACAAACGCATGCAAACAACACAAATAGCACAGTCTTGCTTGTTGCATAGCAACAGGGCTAATTTCGGTTTAACCAATCACCTGAACATCGTTTACACAATGACAAGGGAATCCAGTGAAACAGAAAATTGTTAAGCATTCCAGGATCCGGTTGATATATCATTACTTTCCTTAATCTGATATCATCACAGACCACTTCCAGCAGCAGATATGTGCAAAATACTAGGAGAACGGAATGAAATTAGGTTTTGTCCTTTCAGGTCTGTTCGGGCCGATCTGTTAATGTGATTTACTTGCACACACGCGAGTGTTTCTCAGACATGTTGAAGCAAAAAATAAAATGTTTTGCAAATTAATTTCAATATCGATTTCATGCGGTGAGTTTCATTAATTTCGTTCATGTTAACTGCGTTTGTTTTGCAGCTATACGGATATTGGTCTAAGTGATTTCTTCACCAGAGTCAATTCGAAAGGCATTTAACCGAATGAATACTTTTATAGACAACCAGACCAATTAGCTTAATGTAGGAACAGCTAGATATAACACTGTTTGAACTCTGTTACTTAATCCGAGTTATCTAGTCAAAAGTTGTGATTATAAGTTCAGATTTTCTGTTTGTATTCGAAAAATGTCGTAAGCAGTTAAGAAGAAGCTAATGTATTCTCTAAGTTATGCATATTACTTTCCCACAGAAGCGGTTTGCATACGGTTTCTAACATGCAGTAAATAAATAATCAATTCCGTCCAACGAGAGTGGTATACCATTTCAGTTCACAATGGTCTACATAAATCACCAACTTCTTGTACAGCTGACGAATCGACAATCCATACACCCACTGTTATCAGTAGCAGATCGGCATCATAACCGCATTCTTGTAAACAATCATTTAAGTAAAATTTCTCACGAATTTCAGATACTATTTCCATCGGCTAGGTTATATCGCCACTACGAATATGGTATTCAGAAAGACTATCCTTACTTCAGCAGTTAGCCTAGACTTTTATGTATTCATTAACGTAGTAATAGACTTATCTTTCGGCGCGGATCACATATGATGTTGAACCATAATCCATATACTAAACAAACTAAGAGCTGCACTATAAATCTGGACTATAACTTTATTAAGTCAAAGTGCAAAATACACTGGCCCCAGCGAAGGAAGACTCAAACATGTATGCTGGTGTACAGTGAAAAACTGGAAACAGACTTTATCGAATTGCTTCAAATGGACATGCATATATTTCTTTAGCGAGCGGCACCAAATGTGGAGTTCTGATTAACTGATTGAGGATGCTATGTCAAATTCAACATTGGCAGTAATTATATTTTCCAACCAGCCAAGTGTACGTAATTTGACTAGCGACCATAGTAAATTGTTCACTGAATAAGGATAACATAATATGTAAGGTGTTTGAATTGGCTGTGGAGCCTTCCATACAAAGACCAAAGATTCAGGACGTAGGTGTCTTTAACCCTTAATCTATTGAGTGTCGCCAAAAGCAAAGAAAAACACAAATACTAATTAATAATGAGTATAATACAAACTTAATGCTCACCATCTTTAAGCGCAGGGAAAATTTCCGTCCAGATGATCCGAAACCCGGTGGCTTTTTCATCGTTCCTTAAAGCTGTAAAACTGTTAGACAGTATGCAACCAAATTAGATTGCATAGTTTTATATTAAACAGAGCAACCGTTAGTATTCTAAAATGTATTTAAGCTATTATTTCATGATGGAAATTACAATAAATGATATGTGCTACTGCCATTTAAATTGGTATAACGCTGTGATGGCCGTAGCCTTTTCTAGAGTTTATTATGATAAAAGATTTGTACATAAATAAAAATTAAACAAATATATACTGTTAGAATGGCTTTAGCAACTGTAGTATTGATTACGGCGCTTGCTTGTTTCCATTGTCAGTGCAGTTTGCTATACATAGTGGTTTACAAGATGCCATTTTAAAAACCTTTATCATCTTTAAAGAACACTCGCCTGAGGCAAACAGCTGTTTTTTGTGATTTGTGCCAGCTCGAAGAGGAAGCAATGAAAACGCTGTTTGGCTCGGACTCGTGGTCTTGATGAATCGCTGAGGTTGCATACGTTGTATCAAATTTATGTAGATGCTTTCAGTTTGCTAAACCTGTCCGCTACTTATATCCCATAACTTATTAAAGCTTTAGTAGTTAATAACAATTATCATTAACGCAAACCAAATTTAAATAATCTTAACAGCAAATGGAAACGTTCCTGCAATAATGCTGGATGACAGGTGTGCTAAACCTGAGTACCGTAATTTACAGCCTCCAAAATATGCTCTATCTTTCGTGGCCGGGCACGACTTATGAATGCGAACTCACATCGGGCTCAACCCAAGGGTTGGCAGCGAATCCTCTCTGTTCTACATTGATATATTTAGCATGGCGTGTCGCAATCCAACCACACAGCTGGTACACCAAATGCCACTTGGAAAATATAACTTTGTTCAGAATAGGTTGCAGCCCTTACGCACAGATTCATTTACAACACCAGTTTCCTTAGTTTAAAATCAAGGAATAATTTTCTTTAAACATGGATTCGCTTTCGTTTAAGAAATATAGTTATCCTGGAAACTCAGAGTAGCAAAATGATGCAAACTATTTCAGAGCAACCATCCTGTTCACGAGAATCACACGTTTTAAACTGTCCCTGCACTAGAAACATGGGATTGACGTACTTCTTGCAGAACCGCGTTCAGTCGTTAAGACTGTTTTTTCATATCTAAGAAGAATATGTCCTTGTTTAGTAAAGCTGGAACTTCTGCCAAAGCAATTGCTTGTTTGGAGCTCCACTAACTAAGCCCTCTCCGGCAGCTTTGATAAAACCCTAACAGTATTTATCGTAAACTTTAAAAAAATTTTCAAATTTTCCGTTTGGTAGCCGAAAATGGATCAAGTTGTGTTAAGCACGCATAGTAAGTAATCCCTCCCAGTTAATTTCCATGCGTCGTGATACTGCTTCCAATAAAATGTCTGGCTTAAAACATATTCGAAGTGGATAGCTCAAAACCCTTCGTAGGCAATGTTGGACCACAATATTATTTTGTCTATTTAGATAGCATATAACAGAACCAACTTCTGTCAGCCTAGTGATAAGCTCTCTACTACGCAAAGCTGCTAATTTACAGGATGCATAATTAACTATAAGTTGATATTAACGAGGAATGATGAATAATAATACGCAATATTAAGTATTGTCTACGAGACCAGATATGTCTGCTGTCCGTAGCAGAGAGAATGCGAGACGTTCGATCGGCCACTTTTGTAAGTAATTCAAGCCACGTTTTAGCTTTTAATGGGAATTAGGAATTTTAGCAATTAGTTGCTATTACTATTCTGGTTGACTTCTTTTCGATCAATTTCAAGAGTAAATCTCTCAAATTATGCGAGCAAACAAGTTCGCTCCTGCATATATACCTATTCGCAATTCATTTAGATATTCTTAGGCTAGTGCCGAAATCAGTACTTTATATTGCTGAACCTAAAATTGACTAAAACCGAGTATATCAATTGCGTAACACAAACGTGACTATGCTGTTCCGTGCAACTTAAGCCTAAATCCGTACCTTACGAAAACATGCACCCTATACGGAAGAACAGAGTATCTCAATGGCCATGTAATTCTTATGAACTAAACTAATAAGTGCTTACCGAATTGTGACAGATGCACCAGGTAACAACAACGGAGTCATTGCTGTTTGATTAGTGCAAAGCTCTGCCAGATGGTCCGTAGCAGCACCGGTATAGATTCGCAACACAGCTTGAGAGCAGTCTAAAAAATACGCGTAAGAAAAATTTTGCATGAAATAAACGTTCATATATTGCATTTTGCAAAATGGTATATTTACAAAAATTATATAAGCTGTTTCAACGGTTAGAATCCTTGAGCAATAGTTAGATTTCAATTAGTCTTTTAAAAGTAAAAGATTGTGTGTCTGATACAGCTTCCGTTATACTAACCGGTAAAAGCCGTGTAGGAGAAAAACAAGGCTTTCTTTTGGCATCACATAATGTCCTGTGATACACCTTGTTTGGCGGGGTACATTTTTTATTTTTTGGCCAATGCTAAACAGTTTAAATACGAATCCATCATCACTGCCTTTACCGTCGCCCGCGGCGCCGGTAACTGAATCGGATCCGTGTGGTGTTGTTGCCACTTAATGGCTAATGCATAGTTAAAGCTTGCTAAATTCACTAGTACAGTTAGAAGTGAAGCAAAGTTAACAGACCCTGCCACTAAGTCCCCATGCTAAATAATCTATAGCATTTTCGAATGCCAAAGTTTTAATTATTCCGAAACTCTTGTATCTCAATCTCAAATTGCATGTTCATTTTCCTCACGTCTGCTTTCAATTCTAACAACAATTTGATTAAACTCCTTAAATAAAATAGCCTAGAATATGACAAAGCATAAACACTATTCACTTTGCTTTATGATCAGATGTATATACTCACATAATTTTTTGAAATACTACTGCACAAAACGTCAATAAATAGTGTAGGGCTAGCGATGACACCGCAGATAAGTGCATGCAGACTCAAACTAATGGCCTTGTAGCATGCTTAGTTGGAATGTTGGCCAATTGCACCAAGCGGTATGCATTTCCAAACAAAACGACCGGTTTGGTGCTTGGTTTGAAGTACATATCTTTCATCTGCGCAAGCAAGATATGATGACCCTTTAATCGTTTTCTGCTGTTGGTTTTGTTTAATCTGAACCAAATGACTAGGAAAAGACCAACAACATTAGAACAGTCAAATTCGAATTCAAATACGCACATATGAATTTGCCTCATTGTTCATAACAATAGAGTTCTAGATGTAGTACATGATATTTCATAATTTTGGTGACAAGCCGTACAGCAATACGAAGGCGTGCGCTATTCAGGAGTCGACTACTTCAATATTATATTGCGCACATTGTTGCTAAACTCACATTCTCCCGTGAAAACGTTGCAAGTTTTGAGGGGCAATCTTACAACAAATTTTACATATTCTAGCTTCTCGCCGAATATGCAGCAACCTAAAAGAATGAACGGTCATACGCCTATATATTTGCAGCATATCTTAATGTTGCATGCTAGCTAATTCTTAGAAGAATTGTCAATCAATTGCTGCATTACCAAATGGTGTGATAAAATTATTCATAACAAGCTTTTAACTGCTGGATATAGTAACGTTAATGTAGTCCAATGTTAGAACATAACTCATTAACTGCCAGTTTTCTTTGGAAATTGGTGAATGGCTCGGGGAAATGAGTCAGCGTGCTCGGTGTAGAGTACGTTTTGTTCATTTTTGATATCCTGCTGCAGGTGACAGCTCGTGGAAGACGTGAACATAATACTTTTCTCCATGAGCGAGAGGTGGCTTTACTAGGCGGTTCAAAGTACGTAATCAACATGATCGAGGATTGGGGATCGTGGCAGTTAATGGGTTAATTAATATTATACAGAAAAGCATTTTTTCTCCACACAAATCCTTACTTCCTATATTGGCTGATAAGTAGAACGCATCAAAATGCAACTGTATAACATTTTCCGGGTTGCTGATTTGGAGTTGCCATCGACAGTCCAGATTGTGCGGATATGGTTGAGGATGTTTGGGCGATTCTATTACACCACCATGAAGAAATGAGCCGATGTTTCCGCCACATTCTGTGTAATTCAAAGAACAAAATGACGTGATGTTAAATTAGAAAATTTATTTAAAATAAGCTAACTAGTGATATTACTAATTTCGAAGAATAGAACACAATAACCAAACAGCAATACAACTCATAGATGCTAATTTGAACTTACTTGGGGTAAATATAGAATTAAATCGGTTTGTCGTGCTTTGGGTAAAGCGAATAGGATGCCCTTCACATACCCGTAACTTTCAGAGGATCATTCATCATAACAGGTCTGTCACAGTGTCAATTGCAATCTCACAATGCAAGCATGTATACCCATCCTCTTTTTCCGAGAGTATATTACGCTTTACAAGATGCTTAGGAGAACAAAACAGCTGTTGTAGGCTGGGTACCTATTCGAAACCCGCGGTATAATGGTTCTTAGTTTAATTCTATACTCTAATGATAGTATAATGATAAAAGGTAAATAGTGTGATTTACTGTAAATTGATTGCACCTTACTGAAACTATTGGTTCTACAAAATTATGACTCTCACAAGTTACCGCAGTGACTGACCCAAGAAATAAGCGAATAAGTTCCTAATCCCCAAAATTGCTTTCATTTGAAATACTGTGATGTAGGAGCTGTCAATGGAAGTCCTCATGATCCTGCGCTACTTGAAGCTGTACCAATAGATAGAGCTGATTACCATATGTACACCAATTTATTATTACATATTACAAAAGCGCCAGTATCACAAAGTGTGTTAGATAATCCTGATACGTTTAAACACTGCCTAGTTTATTGCGAATTATGCGCATTTGTCAGAAGCTCTGAAAAATTATTTTGTCAATAACGCAGTTTATTCCTCTGTGCTACTAAAGATCAGGGCGATATTGGATATTAAGTTCAGTCAAGCCGGTGGTGACTGCCACCTGAGCACTGAACTCGAGAACATAATTGGAGACGCGGCTCTGACCTCCTCGTGGATAACGGTAAAGAATCATGAAGTGCTGCAAAATTTGTTCCTCGCAAAGGCACAATAAGTCCCTTGCAGAATGAACAGCCTAATCTGTCAGTTATGTGTGCTTGGCATATTCCATGCATTTGCTTTGTATATGAACATATTTTACCAGCGAATGAAATAAGTTATAACAAACAATATTACTCGGTGCCATCTTTCTCAGGCAAAGAAATACTTGAAATCGTATCCAAAGGAGGACGATCGATCAGGACGGATTCTTGCTGCGGTGAGGCAGAATTAATAGAACGAAAATCATTTGAATTTATGGTCGAATTTTGCGCCATTTAACACCTCCTGTGTTGTGATGTAAAAAATCATGTCATAAGAAGTTTTAAAAGGTTACTTGCAATTGCTCATTTCTCATGTTAGAAAAATAAAATACTTTGCTGGAATTATACCGATAGACTTATTTAAGAAAGTTGTGTCTGCCTTTCGAATAATTACGATATGTCTGCTATTAACGCTAGTATGGCGGAAGGTAGTATACAGTATCGCATTAGGCAGTAGACTGAAAATGCGAAAAAATGGCGAGTTAGTTGGTGGCTATTTCACGTCTGTCTACCAAACTATATTTTCTTGACTTAATTGTACGATTAGATGGCGATCGCCAATCAGTCAAGTTTGGGGTAGTCGTTATTAAAGAAAACGGCCAAATGTCAGAAATTTATGTATGCACGCAATTACACTTATAAGGAATTTTACGTGAATTAGGAAAAGGCCTCCGTTGTAAAACCGAGTGGAGATGAGCAATTTGCCAGCTGAAGCGTGTTACAGTACTTGAAGTTTAACGATCTGGAAAAGAAACCACGTCAGTGTGGAAATCTCCTAACCAAACGAGACCAGTGTTTTCATTGCTAAGTACTTTGAGCGTGTGCAAAATTTCGAATACTTAGTTAAATAAATGTATTTGACAACGAAAAATTCTGCTTAGTATTATTAATCGACCATTAGTGAATTATTTCGTTTCATGATTTAAAGTGCAGACAGCTGATATATATATATATATTATAACTATTAAATAATATGAATTGGTATCGCTTGCTAACTATATCAAAATGTAAGCCCTACTATTTCCAAGATTGGCGCTGGAAAGAAAAATAAGGATTTTGCTGTAGATGACCTGTCGATCATTCGCTGAGTTTTAGTAAAGCTGAAGTGAAAAGCTCGATATACTACTGCCATTATTGACATCTACCGTTGTAGTATTTACGTTAACATTTAACTTTGAATGACGGCGCATGCAGACCGGACTTGGTGAAGGCGAATACGGTTGCAGAGGGGGTATCGTCCACAAATGTTAAAGCTATTTTAGCTTCTTAGTACTGAAAACTGCTGATACAGTTTACAGTACTGAAAAGCATAAGCGCTATTCACTAGTAAATCAGAGTTGGCTAGTTGGAAACTCACCTCCCTTGTGGTGCTCCACAAATTCGTACTTTAAAGTAAATCCTCCATGCTTGGCATTTCGTCCGCTGTGAAATCGCACCAGAAATGCAGTGACACCGGGATCGGAAAGAACTGGGCCAGGAATGTTTGTTCCACAGTATGCTGCGATAGGGTCAATAAAGGATCGCTGCCCTCCAGACAGTGATTGCAATCCCCTATTCATCGTGTTCCAATAGTTTCGCCAAGAGTGCTCCCAATGTCGCGTGCGTGCAGGCAAGTTGGGTGCCGGTTGACTGACCAGTTGATTAAGGACAATGGAAGTAATTTCCCCCCGGATGGCAACAACCTCTAAAAAATCCTGTCAATTGGAAAAGTGTCGGCCGAGATAGCACGAAAAGTGATAATATGTATAATCAAAGGACAACATTTTCAACTGATATCATGACAGTAGGAAATTGAGGGTTATGTGCTGTTTACAAGTGAAAGGGCTTTAAAGTGATGAGCATAAAATGCAATCGCGGACGTTCGATCATCTAAACCAAACAACATTTAGCTTTGGTACTTTGTACATTGTGTACAATTACGCAACTATTGTGAAAAACGTAACGTGATATATTTCATTTACTACTTTAATATCTATGTTGAGATACATTAGCCAATAAAGCTGTATCATACAAAGAACGTATTGACATCGTTTTAATTGGTTGTGTTAGGCACCTGTATATTGTCTGCGTTTAAACTCATCAGCTCATAATATCCCCTACGTCAATATACAAAGCGGTGAAAATAAATTCCGTGTCAAGTTGTTAAACTGAACTGTGTTGCGCCTCTGTATATTTTTCCGATTGCTTGGAGAAATCTCTGGTTTTTAACTCTCTATTTACCCGTTACATGATCAGTGTGGACGGGAAGATATTGCTGGTGTGTAATTCAGAAGAACACACATCGAACACAGTAATTGATGGATTATAACCCTCATAATTTAGCAGTGCTTGTATCCAGTTACTCTTACTCGGTCCTGCTGATCAAGCTCCCAAAATGCATGTAACTATAAACATTTATTTTAAGAAATCTTCTTGAAATTACCTGGAAGGCTAGCTGCAGTTTTGTTACGGATTATGCTTCATCCTAAATTAGTCCTTTAAATATAAGGGCATTATTTACAATATATGTAATGTTGCCTGTATACGGTCCGCATTCTGCCTGAAATGTAACGGCTTTTGAGCAGAATGCTTAAAAATTCTTGTCTTAATTGAAATTTGTAGGACGCTGAAGTAAATGCCATTTGCCCGTCATCATAATCAGGGACTTTGTGGGATGTAGATTAGCCAAATTTATATTTGAATTGATCCGAGGCTGGCGTACTGATTAGCCAGATCAAACAGTTATCATTTGAATTTAATTTAAAAAACGTTTACCTAATTGACAATTGCAATCATTACAATGTATACAAGCGGGTCTTTGTCCCAGGTCTGCCGCATGGTCATGCCGCTAGCCAGATGCAAAATTAGAATTGATGTAGCACTGAAGCTTACATTAATTAATTCGTGAAAATTAGCCTAAGGGCAAAGGTAACGATTTAAATACGTGTTCCTTGCAGGGAAATTTAGCATTCTTGTTCGCTTATATGTAAGATAGAATATTCCTCAATACCCATTTTGGATGAAAATAATCCGTCAGATTAAGTAAGGGAAACTCAGTGAGCATAACTTGATAAAAGTTTATAACGGCCGAAATTCCATTCAATCTGCTTTTTAAAGAATTAAAGTCTGTTGTGGAATGTGTTAGATTGAAATCTCTTAAACCATAAACAACTAAATAAAAATCAAATCATATCAAATATTCACTCACCCGATTACACTGGGGTCGTCCATCCAATGGGCTTGTCTCGCTGGTTGGAAAGGATTCGACGGAAGTCAATTCAAAATGTCCAAATGACAGACGAATCGCAGAAGTATTTCCACTTGAGCTGATATGTTCGGGCAGAAACATATAGACACAAGTAATGTTTGAGGGATATGGTAGAGGATAGAATGGAGAATTTGTCCAACCACTTCTGTGGAGCCTGGCCGTGGAAGTCATGTGCCGAATCGCTGCATTGTTTCGCATCCAGATTGGAAGCGATGGAGTGTATATGAAATGGCAGTTTGTAGGATTTGACTGCAAACCGGGAACAGCGAAACCTGGAGAAAGATGAAACATACTTGGTAAAAGGTCAAGGAATTTGGACGGTAGGAATTCTATTTTTCGATATCCTTGATGCGTTTGATAAATGTGAACAGCGTATATTTTTGACAGCACAAGTGCAAAATGTATCATTTGAATACGCAATTTTATTAAACAGGGAAAATGGCAACTAACTTTCAAGCGTTAGTGGCAATGCTTTTATATGAAAATAAATTACGACAAAATACGTGCGATATGAGCTGTAAAGTTATCTAAAGATAAATATTGATTAGTATAAACTTTGGAAATACTCCTTCCGGTCTTGATTGGAATTTCCTGGGAGACGCAAAGAATGAATGACTAATTGGCTAAATGCATCTGGATTTGGAAAGCGTGTCATAATTAATGGCGTCTTCCAGTTAACATCCAGTGCGTTATTATATTTTTGCTTTCTTCCGATCAAGTTAAATACGTATTGTTACAAATGCGACTTAACCTTATCAAAGGGATGACAAGACATCCGGATATAGCTTTCTACACGAAAAGTAACGTTTTACTAGTTTATTACTCTTGGGGAATATCCAATTATTGTAGTACACATTAGCAAATTTTACTGATATTCGGCGTTGGCGTAGGATCCCGCTAAATCCGAACAAATTAGTTTTAAACGGTAATGAATCAACACCTCAGTAAGTTTTATATTTTCAGCATTGGGTTGCCAAATAAAGAAATAATTAGCTGTATTCGTGCCTCCAATATCTAATGCCTAAATTACTGGCACGTGTTATGCGGTTGTTTTATCAGAAAGCAAAATCTCTGTGTACCAACTGAATGATAACCATTGAGATATAACTTCAGTTTCGCCGTAGCACTGCTAATTTTGATCTGGCAGATCACACAGACCTACGAATCTGGTATGACTATGCTACCTCATGCAACATATCGGGGTCGAGACAATACCTATGTACAATAAAAGTGCAAACAAAAGTACCATCAGAACTATTTAGCACCTAATAACTACGAACGGTTGCAATAATTCTAAATGTGATAGAAAGGAGTGTATAAGTTCTTACATGTAATCAGTTGATTTTAAAGTTTAGGATTATTAGGAAAAACGGCAGGTAGCAATACCTACCACGTTCAAATCTGTATCGCAGTCTGAATTCTGCTTTCATGCCAGGTAGTTGCGCACCTGTCGAATTCAATTGCATTGCCATAAAAGAGTGGCGTGCACGTATTGGAGCCTCCTCGATATCTGTTCCCACACGTACAGTCTCCAGCATCTCCTTTCGAGAGCACAACATCTCATCGGCTGTCAGCAGCGGGTCCCAGAATATGTGATTTGACGTAAAAGTTGGTTCTTTAAACTGGTAGAAGCTGTTTAAATCCCGAATGCCGTACATCGACAAAAACCCCATATCACACCTGTACAAATAAACAAGCAAACAAATAGGGCCTAATTTAACCCATTATTTTCTACATGAGTAAAATTTTCTACCGAAGAAATTCATCAAGATTAAAACTTTAGTGATATCTGGTAAATTCCTCAAAACGTAGTTTGCACGAACCAAACATACAAGTGTAATAAATCTTTGAGCTTTGAAATGGCGCCGTGCATTGGCTATAGGTAAAGCGCTACTTAAACGGACGAGTGATTTGGATCCTTGACAACTTGACGACACCAAGCCCGCTGGGACTGACGTGTTTCACCTGTGGTGCTTCAGGTTGATATCGATCAATAAGTGGCATATACTGAATGATTTGTGCAACGGTTTTACTTTTGGTTTATACAATGCAGTTAAGATTATCGAAGCTCAACAAATGAAGAACATACAGCCCTACGGGAAAATGCAAAGCCAGGGAGATTGTCAAACTACTGCTTTGTAGAACCAGTGACCGCACTCCTCTGATTACCGAAATTGTTGATGGTGAGAGTCACTTACTCCATGACCCAGCTGAAATATGTGAATCATTCAGCGACTATTTTGCCACCACCATGATTCGCGTAGCTGACCCGGTGCCTGTGGGCACAGAGCTCACAGAAACAAACCTCTTAAGCAGAGTCGATATCTTGCTCAACGCTCTCCATTGAGTTATCAAATTAATCAGGGCAGCTTCCAAGCTGGGATCTGATGACATTTCACAAATCACCAGTAAACAAGGAGGACCTGATATATCATTGCTATGATGGACATGTTCACTATATCGCTGGAATCTGGCCACTTTCCAGACTAATAGGAAACGTCATTTATTATGCCTCGGCAAAATGGAGGTCCCAAACAAATGATTGATAACTACCGACCAATCCACCACACTCCGGTAATTGCTCGGCTATTTGAAAAGCTGGTCAGAATGGAGATGATGCCTTTGTTGATTCTATTGACCTGGTCAACAATTTGCAGCATGTCTTTAACAAGCGATCGTGCACCAACTGTCAACTACATTACCTTAATCACATTTCAGAATCAATCGATTCCGGCTATGCAGTAGTGATCCTGTTTCTTGGCATGCACCAAGCTTTCGACCGAGCACCGCACAAGCGACTGTTACGAAAGTTGGAGCACTTTGGGATCCGGGACCCACTAATAGGTTGGCTATCGTGATACCTGAGTGATCGTATTCAGGTAGTCACTTTAATTGATTATCGCTGTTCCCCACGCTCAATCACCAGCTAAGTCATTCAAGGGAGCATGCTCGGCTCTTAATTTTTTTTACTCAACAGCAATGACATCACCACCTCTGTTAAACATAGTACATCAAGTTTATTTGCTGACAATGTTAAACTAGTCTCTGAGTTTTGGCGTGATGAGCTTCACGTGATATTACTGCGCATTCAAGATGATTTACATACCCTTAAGTCATAGTTCTTCACATCGCTGATGAAACTTTCGGCTAAGAAATAAAGCATAATGTCTTACGGCTGCTACATCCCTGAAGGATCTATCACCCTAAAAAATGAACGCGTCCCTACACAGTTGTCCACGCGAGATCTCGTCTACCTTCAATTTCTCCGAACAGGCCCAGTATCAAGTAGCACGTGCTGACAGTCTGTGTTCAATATATCAAATAAAAATACACACAACTAGTGCTAAAGTAAAGCTTTTCAAGCTACTCCCTCGCCCCATCCTCAAATACTGCAGCATAGTATACGGAAATATGAGGAAGAGTGACAGAGTGGCTGTGGAGAACTGTAGAGTTCATCTACTAAACCTCTGATTGGTAAACACGGCTATGAGTTATCGTGAACGTTGCAAAGAACTTCAACTCGAACAACTTTGGATTCAAAGATTGAAGCACAACTTTTGTTGCTTTTCAGCATGTTACTCAAAAAGAGCTATTCCAACCTGTCTACACTCAATGTGCAAACTTGTTCAACTCGAGCGCTTCACAACAAATATTTTACATTGAATAAACCGAAGGCTAGAACGAACGTCCGCTCTATATTCTTCCTTTTCAGATACAGCTATATGTGCAATAAACTACCAATAACAAGCAGGTCATGTGACAATGTGGTAAAATTTAGTAGCAGACTCGCCAATTAACTTGATCTAACTACCCTAAGCTCTATATTCACATGGGAAAAGTCCCCGGATGAGCTATTCCAAGAGGGGCCCAAAAACATATAAACATCAATGTCTTCATAACTAGGATTTTGCCTCAACCATCCACCAGAATGTTAATACATAAAACGCATAACCCAATACTATGCCTATACATGTCACCCATGCAAGAGCATGGATTCTTCCGCACAAATTGACCTGTGCCGCTAAAGACACATTTGCTCATCAAGAGAAATATACCTATTATTATTAGTAGCAGTAGTAGTAGTATTGTTATTATTATTATTATATCCCGTAAGATGGCCAGAATGAGAAGCAATAATGAATAGAAAAGAGTGCTATAAGAAAAATCGTTTAGATGAACACACTACAATATTCGCACAGAGACATGCACAAAACAGCCAAGCTCGATTGTGCATGTTAGCGCTGGTTGTGCAACTTTCGTCACATTATCTTATCTGTCGATATACAAATAATGTATCAAGTAATGTAGGTGGGGTAGGGTAAGATAAAGACTTTAAGTAAACATAGGTAGAGTACAGTCGGAACCATGAACTTTTCGAGGGCATCCTATGACTGGCAGGCAATGATATACATTATACCCGAGTGCACTGCGTCGTCAAGTTGATCTGGTGGCCCTTCACGTTCGTGTTGTGACTGGGTTGAAGTTGGAGGCGGCAGAAGTATTTCGGGTTTTTCAAAAGCTGAGAGGCTATTAGTAGGTTGCCAAGTAGACGCCGATACTGACCGCTGTACAACTTTAGAAGCCTTAATCAAAATCGATATGGACGTTGGAACAAGCCATTGACGAGTTTTGTTGCTCTTCGCTGTGGAGTCACGAGGGCTATGAGATCTTGCTCGTGCCAAGCTTTCCCGAATTTGATGTCTTGTTTGGTAACTAGCCACAAACCTCACGAATGTGATCCACATCTTTCTAAAATGTCGGTTCCCCGTGTTGACGCCTTCTCAGATAGTCCAGAGCAGCCAAGCTCAGCCTGGATTAGTACGCCGAGGTCACACTCATGAGTGGCAGCTCGTAGGACATGGTCTCCAAGATTGTAAAGGTTTGGTTGGTGACGAATCTGATCCACCTTACAATTAGGGGAATTCAACTGGAGCAGATTGAGGAGTGTCCCTTCATATAACCTGTCTAGGTGTCGCTGAATTTCATCTCGAACTTATTGGTATCTGCTTGCCTAACATTTATTAACGCCAGCAGCAAAAAGCAAGAAGTCGGAAATGATAAATGCGTAACCACAATAATGAAAAAAGGGAAACAGACACGAGTTTAGAAATGCCCCTTTTGAAACGTTAATTTTACTTTTACTCGGATCGGACACTGTGCTCCGAAACCTAAATTGCAATCACCAATTCACCAGGAAACTCCTGGTTCTCCAAAGCACTGGATGCGTAACACCATAGCTTTCAACCCTGGGAAGCAGAATGTGTTTTACCAGCAGGTCGAAGGCTTTGGAGAAATTGAACTAAAGGACGTCGGTCCCGCTACCATTATTGGCAGCTTCCGTCCAGCTACTGCGTGTAATCAGTAGGTTGGTTGTGTATGAAGGGTGTTGGCGAAAGCCATGATGCTTCGGTGCTATGAATTTGTAGCTTTCTGCATGGTTGACCAAAGACGCAGCGATGATTAACTCCATCACCTTTGAGAGTATAGGGAAGAGAACCACTAAGTGATTTCTGTGGGTTCCGAGTGATTCCGAGTTTAACAATTTGGCTTACTTAAGCTATGTTTCTTTATGGTAGGAACAGGTTGCTTTTCTAAGCATGTTTGGAGGAAATGCAAAAATAGCTGTGTCTGCCTTGTTCATGCTGCGCTCAGCGCCCTCGAGTGAAGATCATCCATTCCGGGATAAGTGTGAGTGTTTAATTGTAGTGAGAGCAGTTCCTTTCGAAGTTCTACTTCTGATTGGTAGAACGAACCGTCTTAATTTCATGAGCAGTTACCAGCAGATTGTGAATTGTCCAACAGTGTATATCCATGCACCATCCGGGGGTCATTTATGCGAATTCCAAAACCGTCATCGCAATCAGGTCGCTCAGAATGTTGTAGCTTGTGATGGTACGTGCAAGTTTAGTGTGTTCCTCCGGTTATACAGCGTAGCACGTATTTGTATGGAAAACTGTGAGTGGATCATTTAATCCTGGTGCGATGTATATAGTGTCTGCGGACCACAAGTTCCTCAGTTATAAGTATGAGGTCCAGTACAAACGTTTTGTTATTAGCACTGTATCTGCTAGCTGAGGTGATGTGATTGAATAGCGGAATACTTGTAGTAGGAGCTTGCAGTTGGGCCTTGAATATTTCGCCGGGGGTGGCTAAAGATTCTAGGTTGTGCAGGTTGAAATCGCCGGAAACAAGTAGTGGCTGTAAGTTAGGAGCAAGCGTTTTCTCAGTGCCGATATTAGGCGGTTATTCAGCTTTGTAGTGGACGGTGGGGGCAACAAAAGACTATCACAAAGCATTTGTTGATGCATTTGAGGTGCAAACAGCACTAAAACGAATCGGTGACTCGCATTTTCGTAACATTTAACAGTTCACATCGTAAGCCCTTACGATAATATAGGATTAGTCAACTCATCTGCTGAGATGATAGTTTCGGAACGTTGACATAACCTGAATAGCGGTCTCAGCATCAGTATTCTGTGAGTGCAATCAAGTCACGTCTATGAAGGTAAATTCCTAAGCGTAAGTTGACTGATGCAACAAATGCTCAACGATTTTACTGAGGAGAAACTGGGCGTTTGAGTAGATGCAGGAAAGTGTTACGGATATCAGCATATATCCGAAAAACATGTGACTTGTGGAAGAGGTTGTGCTGGTCGTTTTCCTATCGTCCGCAAACCGCTT